ACGAGATACACTTGGAACACTCGAGCCCAGGAAGCATTTGAAGATCTGAAAACTCGTTTTACCACTGCCCCTATTCTCCAACTACCGGATCCCCAATTACAGTTTACTCTGGAAGTTGATGCCTCCCATCTGGCAATCGGGGCCATCCCATCACAGAAACAGGCAGCCGACGCTCCCCTTCATCCAGTTGCCTTTTACTCACGCTGGTTAACAGCAGCGGAGATAAACTACCCCATCGGAGAAAAGGAATTATTGGCAATCAAATCCGCCTTGGAGACATGGAGGCACCTACTAGGAGGGAACTGCTTTACCCATCGTTATATATTCCAATCATCAAAACCTTCAGTATATGCAAAAAAGTAAAACTCTCTCCTCCTGACAAATACAATGGGCCCTCTTCTTCAATAGTTTTAACTTTATCATCATCTATATACCTGGATCGAAGAATAGAAAGGCAGATTCGCTGTCCCGAATTGATGAACCCCATTGTTCTGCTAACCAAACCACCCAGGTCATTCCACATGAAAAGATAATGACACGTTCAGTCTCACGTAAGAATTAAAGATAGCATTGGCCTCGGCTCCACCCTCAGAGGAGCTGGAGGTTGATGGGGAAGGATTCCATTACAAAGATAATAAACTCTATATCCCTCCTTCTCTCCATTGCGAAATTCTGAAACTTACTCATGATGCACCTCTGGCGGGACATCCAGGGATCTCTAGAACATTAGACCTCATTCGCCGCCACTTCTGGTGGCCACAAATGAAAAAAACTGTACGGGATTATGTGACCTCATGTGACATTTACGCAAGATCCAAACATGAGTCCAGACAACCATTTGGCCTTCTCAAAAACTTACCAGATAAGCCATGGGATGCCATCTCCTTGGATTTCATTGTTGAATTACCCCCTTCAGGCAGTTTTAATACAGTTGTCGTTGCAGTCGATCTCTTCACAAAGATGGCTCACTTCATCCCACTCGCTAAGTTGTCAACCTCCAAGTACACCGCTGATGTGCTAACAGATCACGTCTTCAAATTACATGGAATTCCGTCCCGAATTGTATCGGATCGGGGCTCCCAATTCATTTCAAAGTTCTGGAAAGCTCTCTGTCTTAAGCCTCGGATTGACCATCGACTGCTTACCACCCCCAAACGAACGCTCAAACCGAACGAGTAAATCGGTGCCTAGAGCAGTACCTTCTGTGTTATTGCACCCTTTTGCAGAATGACTGGCATGAACTACTCTCCCTAGCGGAGTTCTCTTACAATAACAGTACTAGTTCCACTACTGGCCACGCACCATTTTATGCAAATTATGGGTTCCATCCCTCATTCATCCCCTGGGGGATTCCAACAAACAATCCAGCCACAGAGGATTACATCAAATGATTGCAGGATCTTATTCCCTTCTTGCAGGCCAACATTGAGAAAGCTCATGCCAGACAGAAACACTATTACGACCGGCGCAGAAGAGTGCCACCCCAGTACAAGGTGGGGGATTTAGTGTGGCTCTCTACCAGGCATCTAAATCTCCAGACGCCTTCCAGGAAGTTTAGTAGCCTGTACATTGGTCCTTTCCCCATACTCTCGGTGGTCAATCAATCGGCGGTTCGGTTGACCCTGCCACCGACACTGAAAATTCATCCTACTTTCCATGTCTCCCTAATAAAACCATACAATCCCAACACCTTCTCGGGACGTTCACCTCCTCCTTCGCCACTGGTGGTGGTGGAGGGACTGGAGGAATATGAAGGGTAGGTCTTGAATTCCAGAACATATAGGAACAAACTGCAATATTTGATTCGATGGAAGACCTGTGGTGCTCAGGATGATTCCTGGGAACGTGCCTCTGATGTTAATGCTCCTTGCCTTGTTAAGCGGTTCTATTCGTTTCACCCCCAGAAGCTGGGACCCTCTACCCACACAGGGGGTTCTTCCGGGGGGGACCCTGTAATGCATTCACCCGTCCTTCGGTCCCGGCGCGTCGGAGTTCCACTGCGGACCCAGCGACGTCATCGGGCTTGACGTCAGGGGGCTCCTCCCCCTTAGTTGGTTTAAGCCGAAAGAATCACTTGCCTGGCGTTTGTGCAAGTGTGTTGACGTCATGCAAGTTCCCTCCTCGGCTCACTCCGAATCTTCCCCACACTGTCGGGCTGGCCAGAGCCTCACCCTCAGTGGCTGCCAGCTGACACTACCTCCGGTCCGTTTGCCGTCCTCCATTGGGGAATTCCTCTCATTGAAACAAACCGATCCATCATCCTTCACTCCCCTCATAAGAAGTGTCAATACTGCCTGCCATATCGTTGATTCCACTGGGTGGCACTGCTGAGCAACTCCAACCTGCATCTAGAACATCACGTGCCAGAATGATTGACTCCACTTCTCCCAGATTGAATGAGAATCGTTTGCCTCATACTCCCTGGAGGACTGGTGCACAACTTACTCCTGAATCGCAAGTACTCTTCTCCTCTTTTGATTACTCTACACTCGTCAAGCAATATTGTATGCTACATATTAGACTGTATCTATGTATCTACTTACATGTTGCAATGTGGTGGTAATGAGAAAACTCTTGTCTGAAGCACTGTCATTCGGGTCTCAGACCCCCAAACCTACTACCTGCTATAAACTAACTCCTCCTCTCCATATCGGTAGCTGAGATCCATACGGGACAAGGCCAGAGGAGACTTGGTGTGTTACAGTAACTCTACTACTATTGTTGTTTTATATTCATAAATGCCAGCCAGGCATCCCATCGGTAGTGGAATTGCGATTTTTGATTCATTCGACAAGCTATGAATTGTTTGTGCATACAATAGCTATGTACTCAATGAATTGTTTCCTGTAGGGCTGGAGCCGTAGATATTTTCCATAAGATAGCAAGGCGATGTCTGGCCGCAAACAGAACATGCATAACACAACAGAGCGGTAGTTTTTAGGGTACAGCTATATATCTATATTCAGTAATGCCAACTGCGGGGTAGGAGTGGTGAGTACTCCAGTACTCGTCTAAGTCGGGATCCGCTCTGGCGTCTCAGTATACTGCGAGCTGTAGCTCGCGGTATACTGAGCTTAGGGTAACGGGAGGACGCTAGTTTGTGTCCTCCCGTTACCCTAAGGAGAACTATGGGGGTAAACACTGACCCCATAGTTCTCCATTAAGTCTACGTATGATATTACAATTTCATATACCTGCAAGGGGGCCTGTAAAGTAGTAAGTGGTGTACACAGGAGCATTTCATGTAAAACAAAACTGCCAGTTAGAAAAGGTGGCTTTGATGGTGGGGGAAATAGAAGTTTGTACAGATCGGTCTAATTGAGCAGCGAACAACCAATAACAAGGTCACCTTTGACCATCATACATTTCTCAAGGGTATACCACACTTTATTAGCATCCTTCAGGAACCATGTTTTTGTCTGGGCAAGTAGGGATCCACGATAATACGTTTTCAAAGAGGGAAGGCCCTCTTCCCCAGAGTGCGGAAAAGGTACAAGATTTACGGCAATACGGACATTTTCAATGCAGCTACTCTACTGTGCCATGAGATTTCAAATGTTCCAATGTTAGCCAGATCATTCCGTATTGTTTGGAGGAGTGGTTGATAGTTATATTTAAAAAGAGTGTCCGTATTTGCAGTTAGATGTACTCCCAGGTATGGGATATAGTCATTAGCCCAAATATAAGGGAACATAGCTTGTAATCTGGTTTTCAGAGTAGGAGATATTCCCGATATCTGAGATTTTTCCGTATTGACTTTATAATAGGATACCAAATTGGACTTTTGCAATGTGGAGTGTATTTCTTTCAGGGAGGTACTGGTGTGGTCAGGGATAAAATAATGTAATCCGCAAAGAGTGCTATTTTAAAATCGGATTTACTGACCGGGATCCCTCGGATATTAGGGTTGTTTCTAATTGCTATAGCTAACGGCTCAGGCGGTAAGGAAAACAAAATAGGTGACAATGGGCATCCTTGTCCCATCCCGTTTAAGATTGCAAAGGATCGGGACAGCATGTCAGACGCCTGACGCCCCTTGACGAACTCAACTTGGTCTGGTTGTATTAGTTTGGGGGTAATAGGTAACAATCTACTAGCTATCATTTTAGCATATATTTTTACATCCGTATTGATAAGAAAGATTGGGCGAAGATTTTTAGGGTGATCCGGTACCTTCCCTGGTTTAGGCAGGATAATAACAACCGCTCACAGCGTATCGTGAGGGAAAGATCCAGAAATTGCAGCTTTATTGTATATATCGACGAGCTGAGGAAGTAATATGTCTTGGAAATGTTTGTAGTATTCGAAAGAAAAAAAAGTCAGCACCCGGAGCTTTATTTAGTGGGAGGTCATGAAATGTTTTTTTAATTTCTAATGGAAGAGACTCCTTTTTCAATTTGTATCCGGTTCATAGGGTCATCTGGGGAAAACTCCTTGTTGGATTACCCAATGTTACTCGTTGATCCCTAATTCTGTACAGATAAACTCTCTTTTTGGCACTAGTATCTTCCTTTGTCATATGCTACTATAACAATTTTATGTTCAGTATACTAAGGATCGACCAATCAGGGCCGATATTCACACATTTTTGTCATTATTAGTTAAATGTACCGATATTACCGTTAATAAGCACATTGCGGATTTCACATAGTGAAATTTGCACAGTGGGCACTTTCTCCTTTAACTCCTCTGCTGATTGACAGCAGGCGGTGGGTGGGTGCAGAAATGGGTCTTCAGGGCAAAATTTTTTTTTTTAAAAAGCAGCTCAGTCTGCAATATCCACCTTCACTCCAGAGCTACCCTACCAGTCTTTTGGTTTGAATGACACATAAACCATCGCTCATTCACTCCCACTTTTGTCCAACTCAGGTGACAATCTCATGGTAATGGGCTCGTCTAGAGGAATTAGCAATAGCTAGAAAATGTCAATGTTTATTTGCATGCTGTTAGCAAAGTTTTTGCTCTATAAAATAAATTACTTGCTACTTTTTTCTTTGCAGATGGAGGAAAAACGGAGGAAATTCTCAATAAGCAGCGATGACTCAGACACCACTGACAGTAAGACATAAAATGTTTCTGCTTTTCAGTAGTACTAGATCTGAAATTAAACTATGAACCCACTAAACCAACTTATTTTTAGTGTGTGATTAGACAACAGCTAGTAGTAGTTAATCACATTCAGTTTGACTTGTTGGATAAGCATCGAAACATCTTTAACATTACAGAACAAGTCCAGTTTTCTTTTTTCATCATGGATAATAATTTACAGAGCAAAGACGAAATTCAATGCAATCACAGAAATTAACAAAAAGGAGAACAACAACAGTACAACCACAGGACCGTAACATATTAACTTTATTTGTAGCACTAATATATAGACTTTTTCATGACAAATAGCCTGTAGATGAGCATATCTCAATAAGCCAAACACAAGAAACAAAATACCCTTCAAACAAAACATGATTGCCTGCTGTCAGCCGCCATTAATGTCCAGTCTGGGAGAGGAGGAGTAATGTGAGCAACATTAATGAACAGAAGGCTTCAAAACTTTTTAGAGAGCCAGGGACCCCATGCTTTATTGTACTGAATAGGCCAACCTCTGTGTGCGTAAACCAGTTGTTTTTTTAATAAGATAAGGCATCATTCAGAAGTTTCGCTCACGAGATACATGGGGGAGAGCAATCACCTTGCGGACTTGAAATAGTAATTAATGAAGGAATGTAAGTTTGGCAGGCGGTAACAGCAAGCCCTGTAAAATACATCCCATTACAGCGTACACATTTCCAAATCGGCACCCAGAACTTGTTGACAACAGCACAAGCCCAAATAAGTTGAAAAGGAATGTGCAATAAGTGACACTTATGACAGCATGGGGATGAGTCAGCAAATTTAGCCATCCTGTAAGGGGTAAGATATGCTTAATAAATAACAGAAGTTTGAATTGTGCGCTTTTTCACAAACAGAGACTGCTTAGTTAGGGTTGCCAAGCAATCCACCCAGTTCTACTACAGATTTGGTAAATGGCCTAACCACGCATTGTAACATTTCTGTACATTAAAAATAGCTCTTGAGCCCACACATTAACTATAACATGATATATATCTTTCCTATACATATTCTGTATGGCCTGCACTAGATCAGGAACGGCGTTGCAAAAATCTAAAATGACTATCACAGGACAGACTATATTGAGAGGACACTCTTGACTTAATATGACTCAGGAACCAGATAACTTTAGTATGACAAAACAGTCAGGGATTTTCCTCAGTTCAGTAAAGGCCTTGTTTTCCTGGGGATATAAGTGATAATTAAAAATGGACAGAGAGATGGGTCTGCACTCCCAGACACAGGTAGCCTGTGTGAATTATGTGAGGAAAAATGGGCCCTATTGAATTCCCTTTGAGTAATTCATGAAGCACTTGCATTGGGCCGCGAGAGGAAGTGAAACCCAAAAAAGAAATAGACACCGGCACTCCAATAGTAAATCGATTATGTCTCTTTATTGACGTACATCAAAAGCAAAATAACACACTTAGTGTGACGATTCGGGGACACACAGGAACCCCTTCATCAGGCAAAACAAGTGAGATTATTAGTGAAACAGCCAAATATATATACACACCAGGTTAGGTGAACAGACCTATCACAGAGCCTAAATTGGTCCCATGATGTTTCTGATGATGTCATACTCCCGCCAAAATCATTATATATATATATATATATATATCTAAATATATATATATATACACACACATACATACACACACACCAGGTTAGGTGAATAGACCTATCACAGAGCCTAAATTATATAGTTACATAGTATTTGAGGTTGAATAAAGGACATACGTCCATCAAGTCCAACCCATATAGGTCCACGCATCATCTCATTCTTAGGGATACTGGCATCCCTGGATATTACGGTCCCTCAAGAAATTGTCCAACCGTTTCTTGAACAAATCTACACCCTTGGCTGAAATCACTGCCGATGGCAGTTTTTTGGATAACATACTACAGCCCCTTGTCAAAGCATTGCCAGCATACACCAAAGACACCAATGACTTCCTTTGTAAAATTCAGCAGTTTAGTGCTTTACAGGAAGACTGGCACTTGGCAACCATGGACATTTCGTCCCTATACACTTGCATCCCCAATGATGCTGGACTTGATGCGGTATCACATTTTTTGAGATCCGCTAAGTATGATGTTATGCCTATAGAGTTTGTCTTAGTATGTCTACGGTACATTCTTGAAAATAACTTCTTTTTGTTTGAACATCAGATGTTCCTACAGACTAAGGGAACTGCGATGGGCAGTTCAGCTGCACCATCTTTTGCTAATCTGTTTGTGGGTTTTCTTGAGGAGATGTACATATCTCCGTCGCCACTGTACCGGGCCCACGTTAAACTGTGGACCCGCTACATTGACGACATCTTCATCATTTGGCAGGGTGAGCGGGACACGTTCCTGGCTTTTGTTGAGTTCCTCAATTCCATCTTCTCTGGAATTATATTCAACCCTGAGTTCCATCATACCCACATCACTTTCCTTGATGTATTGGTTAGTATAACTGATGGCCAGTTACTTCTCTGTTCAGTAAACCTACTGACCGCAACACGATCTTGCACTACTGTAGCTCACACCCTAGACACCTGTTGGACAACTTACCTATCTCTCAATTTATGCGTGTATTGCTCAGACCGGGACATATGTAACACACAAATTAAAATCATGTATACCAAGTTCCAACAGAGGGGCTACCCAGATACTATACTGGATCACGCCCTTGAACAAGCAATTAACAAAATGACCTCCCCAACACAGAAGGACAAACAGTCTGATGACAGACTCCCATTTATTCAGAAGTACAATAAAGCCTCTCACCTGGTGCGTAGGTCCACTGTAAAGAACCTGAATATCAGGCAGACAAAAACCTGGTTACACAAATCAAAAACGCACCGCTACAGGTTTACTACCGCAGCAGAAACCTGAGGGACCATCTGGTCCAGGCAGACCCCAGACCTAAGTGTGCACGAGAACCCATCAAGATTTCACAATTGCAACGTATGCAGTGCACTAATTACTGGGGAATCATTCCCACACCCACACAGCGGCACGAAATACCATATTAGGGGCTACCTTAGTTGCTTACTTAAATGCCCATGTGGTCTCATTTATGTAGGTAAGACACTTGGACCATTCAAGCGACGTTTCCAGAAACATCAGAGTGACATCAGGGGCGCCATTAACATAGTTTTGGAGGGTGGTACCCCTGACCTCAATAAACCCGTGGCTGTACATTTTGCCAGCTCCCGTCACCAGACCCATGAATTACGTGGTATGGTCATTGAACATGTGTCTGCATCCCACAGGGGCGGCAATCTTGATAAATTCCTCCTTCAACGAGAGGCCTTTTGGATCTACACACTGGATACTATCATACCCAGGGGCCTCAACACAAACCTCACACTGACGTGTTTCTTACCTGATCGTTGAAACTGACACTCCCCTGGGGTCTATGTGTTCGTTCCCATAGGATTTTTTGTATATAGATTTCTTTTGATTTTTCCCACACCTGTCTTTGCTACATGTTTCACTTACCCCTGGGTGGTCTCCAACCTTAGCAGGGCATTTATCATTATATCGCTATTATCACTTCACTTATTTTTGTCACAGATCCCTATTCGCTAGCCCATCCTTCCCTTTGGTGTTTGAGACATGTACATCATGCCCATGTTACACATTACCGCAGTGACCATATGTTCAAGTTTTCTCCAACATACATATGCAGTGCATTCTTATGCACGCATCACGACGTGCACAACGCACGTTGTTTACACATAGTGATTTAATTGACACCCTTAGGCTTCCCTAGCTCTGACGCGACCAGGTAGCCTATTGGTTTTTTCCATCCCTTGTTCGTATAGATCTTTGTGGTATACGAATGATCGTTATTTTCATTTACTTTTTGCTACCACTGTGTATCATGTCTCATCTTGCTTAAACCCTGAGTTTATGTCCCTTATAATATTGCTTCTTATAAACTGCTTGTTGCTATACCAATCGGGACGTGTATGCTCCACCAATATGATATGGTTGGGTCACATGGTGCCGGCTCTGTCAGTTGCGTCCCGCTGCAGCCATGGTAACCAATGACGTGGCCGATTCCACGCCTCCTCTGTTCTTTCCCCCACTGTTTCCTCGGGCCATGGGTGTGGCTGAAGTACACATCATAGAGACGTGTGCAGCCTCCCCCGCACTCTATCTGGTGGGCGTATCTAGTGGCAGCATCTGGGAGCCTGACAGCGGCAAACCACTCCCTGCATCTGATCCTTTGACATCTGCAAACGGACGGCTTTCGTTGTACTTATGCCTTATCCCCACATTTCTTGTATTATGTCATCTCTCTGGTATCAGCGTTCAGTAACATATGACTTTGAGTTAGTAGATTGCTCTTTTGTACTTTATATGTTAACCATACTGTTCACTATGCCTCAATCCACTTTGCTGATACCTATTCTGCTTTGATTTTGGCGGGAGTATGACATCATCAGAAACGTCATGGGACCAATTTAGGCTCTCTGATAGGTCTGTTCACCTAACCTGGTGTGTATTACTGAGCACCCAGGATACTTTGTTGGACGTGCGGTCAGGAGTGCAATGGGTACATGGACTGTAATCAGGAAGTGAAACCCAGACGCTGCACCCTGAGCATACTATTTTTCCAGAACCAGTGAGCCACTTGTTACAATGGTGTAGCGACATAGTATTTGTGTAAAGAAGGAAGCCATTTAGGGAAGTAAAGAACAAGTCTAGTTTAATGTGACTACTACTATCTGTAACCTGACCTAAATAAATGAGAACCTTTGTAGACATGTTTTTATTACCATTCAATAATTTTGGGATTTTGATGGGAAAATCAACCTGCAAGATCCTGGCTCTGGTTATTCTGCCAAGTTTGGGTATATTTATTCCAAGCAATAAGGTCATGCATAGAAGGTCTATGCACGACCTTACTTTTATGCAACAGATCATTCATAGAAGAAAACAAAATATCTGGT